TCCCCAGTTAATCTCGTACCAATCCTTATAACCAGCAGCACCGCAACATTGTATAAACCATTGTACATTATCAACAATGCTTTTTGCACTTTGTTTGTTGCCATAATCATGCATAATCTTCATAAACGTATCCTTACAGCTTTTAGCAGCAAATAAATTTACCAGGGCAAGTGAAAAGGAAACACTCTGTAGAATTGTACATGTGCATATGGCTAGACGTTTATACCAAATAGTAAAACTCATTGTTTTATATGTTTGCATTTTACTGCAATCAGAAGAATTCTTATTCGGTAATTTAGTAGATAGTTGATATAGTTGCGCACATCTGGGCTGTTTTCAGTTGTACGACTGTTGGAAGCGTGATAAATCCAGCAAGGAGACCGGCAGTTGTAGGTACGCTGCAATGGAGGACCGTCATGAAATGAGTAAATGCAAATGCTAACAAACATGTTAGAATAATCTGGAACACTTGGGCGAAAATCAATGCGGTACTTAGATTTATCAACGTATTGAAGTAACTCATGTCATTATCTGTCGTTAATTTTATTTAAATGTCAGTGTAAGTGTTCTTTTATTGAAATATCTTAGTGAAATAGTTTTGGTAATAGATTCGGAAAATGTAAGTGTTTTGAATTCAATTTTATTTGTTTTAAAATGATTATGTCATACTGTGTTACATTAAATTTAAAAATATTTGTTAGTATTAATTGTAATAGGGGATTCCTTGTGAGTTTATTAACAAGGGAGTGAGATTAGCCATAGGTCTACCTGTTAACAATTGGCTGACTCAAATGCTCCTTACTCTTTGGCTCACAGGTATTTGCTACTTGGATTTTTGCATCTTTCTCCACTATGCGTAGCGGGTGCGTCGCAGGTATAAAAAAGGGTTTCCCGCGGCCCTAGGTTTTTCGGTTTTTTGTTCGAGTCGCGTTTTAGAGACGTCCAGCTCCTAATTCTACTTGCTTTCTCTTGTAGATTATTTCATTTTATTTCTTTTAAAACTTTTGCTTAACAAATTATATTTTCAAGTGAACGTAAATGATGATAAAGAATTCTATTTAAGTTATCATACATTACAAGGGTTATCTAATTCAGAAACAATGAAAAAATATTTTTAAACAAAATTACCAGTGTTTAGATATTTCAAGCAACAATCTGAAAATGACTTTAAACTGCTACACTTATTTATAGCTTCTTCATGATTAATAAATCCAATGGTTTACAAAGCATACACGCGTACCATTTTCACTTCCAAAGAATTCTTCTGTGACCAAGTGGATCTCCAAGTATTCCGCGATGTGTAAAAAGAT